CCACGGCCATACAGTTTGTAACCAATATAAGTCTCTGTGTTTATTTGGTTGGGTCTGAATGGCTGTGGGACTGGCGGGTGTGAAAGAGTTTGTCCTGACTGTGGTCCAGGCAGGAAAACATTTAGCTACAATGGCGTCTTTTTGCTTTAACAAGGTACTGTTTGTGACCTATGTTTGGCTGCAGGACTTCCCAGCTGTGAGGCAACAGGTTGGCTGCAGTGGACAATGAGAGTGTAATGGGATGTTCACCCAAAGACTCTGTTCCTTGGAAGAGGAACAGAAAGTGCTCTGGGAGATTGGAACAATTTGTACTAAAAACAAATTCCTCAGATTAGGGCCTTGTCTGCCCCTAGCATGGAAGGGCAGAGCTGGGAAGGCCTATGCTGCCTGTGTCATTTGATCATCCTGTAGGGGAGCTGCTAATGTCCTGAGGTCCAGCTGGGTGAAGTTACATAATGTGGGACTCTGAAAAGGCTTAGCAATGAGGATTATCAGTGGGATGGAACTTGCAGGTTCTTTCCAGGATTCTCCTCCGGTTCTGCAGTAGGGAACTGTAAGGGAGAATACAAGCCATGTCATGGGGAATGTGGGGACCACTGACCCCAGACCAAGAGGAGCACTTCTGCTGAGCTGTCATTTCTGCTGGGACTGGGATGTATCATGAATTATACTGTGGTTCTCTTGGTCCATTTGGTGACCTGGGCAGTGACGCTTCTCTCTTGAGCCTCCCCAGATGTGGATTCCCTAGGGAGTAGGGGACTCTGTCACCCTGGCTATGGAAGGGCATAGTGCTTGTAGTATATGTGTCCAGTGTGCACACACAGGTATTTATTTTGGTGTGCAATGGGAAGACAGATTGGAAAACTGAAGGTCTGGTTTCTAGAAGTTCTGAACATTGCTTTCCACTTTCAGGTTGACTTATAAATGTTACAAATAGTTTAGAAACTGGTAGAAAGACAGTGATGGGGATCATCCTTCAGAAATATGTGATTAGAATGTTTTTAAATTTCTGATATAGGGTTGACCTGATTCAGGGAAGTTTAGTTCCAGGGGAGAAAAGAAGTTTCTGAGATATTTCAGGTGTGTGTAGTGTTTGGCAGGTGGATAGGGCAGATTCCACGTCTTGTCCCATAAACCATTTAGTAGAAAATAAATGTTAAATTCTTCTTCTACATTGTTTTGTTTGTGGGCATCAGTGGGGCTGTGTTTGCCTGCAACTACAACAGGATATGAGAGTTTGCAGAGCCAAAGGAGGAGATCATCTCCATTTTCAGTGAGAGCTCTAGAGCATGGTGCCTTTCTGTTTGAAAGAAATATCAGTAGCTGGAGTGTCAGAAACAACAATTTAAGGGTCACTTTGAGTTAATTCTTTTGGAATTGTAAAGTCTGTGTTTATTTAATTTCTATACACATAGAACTATAGGTAGTTGGATAACATTTGTCACGATCACACTTTTCCTAGGTGAGTTTCCATTGGTCTTTTGCTTAAAAGTTGACTATATTTTTCTGCTTTTGTTCTTAGCTTTTTCTCTCCATCCCCTTTATTCATTCACAAATATTGTACATAGTCTTGATGGTTGTAGCTTTTTGGTATATATAGAAGTCATATTGTGTCTATATGTATACTATCTTGTGACCATTCTGAGAGTTACCACTTTGCATCTAGCTTTGGAATCAGTTATCCTGTTATAAATTGTTTGGAAGTTTCTTGGGATTGTATTCAATTCATGCTACAGATTTATCATACTCAATATCTTAATATTGATGTATCATGTTCTCAAGGATCATTTCTTTATTTTTTTTATTTCTTTAGGCTTTGTGTTCTTGTTAATCTGTGAAAGACTTTTAGTTTATTGGACAAAAAGTACTATGGAACTTGCCAGCGTCTCAGCACAAATTCTTCTTGGGGACAACTTGAGTTCATACCAAGTTGGGAGGTCATAAGCACCTGGTACTACAGATCCAGGAGATCCAACACCCTCTTCTCTGGTGTGTCACCTGGCTGTACATGGATGACATTCTTTCTTTCACATATAAACATATACATAAAAATGATGATAAACTCGTTTTTTAAAGTTCCTGTGACTTATAAAGCAATTAGAGCAAAGTAAGTTGCTTTAGGTGTACAATATAAATCATACACTATTTAAAAACCTGTTATCTTGCATTTTAGTTTGGAAAAGTTTTCATTTCCTCACTGATTCAGACTCACATCTGATCATCAATCATAGGAAACAAACTGGTGTTTCCTAGGAAATATTCTTTTCTTTATCATAAGAGAATGAGATCTTTTTAGTAGTCAGAACTATTTTCTACAAAGTTAAAATATTAGAAGGAGTCAAACAAAACTCTCCAATTTTAGTGGAACAGCCCTCCTCACCCAACCCATTTTTTTGTTATTAGCAATGGAGAGAACTGGGCTACAAAGGATGAGTGATGGCCAGAGATTTCTTATAGTATGATTTAGATAATAACCTTGTAGTTCTTGTTAAAGGACCATGATATATATATATATATATATATATTTATTTATTTGTAGGTATGTCTTTCTGTCTTTTTTTTTTTTGGTTTTTCGAGACAGGGTTTCTCTGTGTAGCTTGGTGCCTTTCCTGGAACTCACTCTGTAGACCAGGCTGGCCTTGAACTCACAAAGATCCACCTGGCTCTGCCTCCCAAGTGCTGGGATTAAAGGCGTGCGCCACCACCGCCCGGCCTGTCTTTTTTTTTTTTAGTAGTGCCATCTTTGTTTTTAGTTTTATTGCCATCTAATTACATTGTTGTTTCTCTGGAAAATGATAGACCTTCACCAATTTTTTAATTCAGAAAATTTTCTATATTATGTTATGAGTTTCTTGAGGTTTTTTGTTTGTTTGTTTGTTTTCTTCTATGTGAACTTCCTGTGGAGAGACAGTTTTAGTTTTTTTTCATGATCTTAGAGGCTTGCCTAACCTCATCTCTAGGCATATCTGTTTTCCAGCAGTTGTTGCTGTCTTGATATTTTTTTTTTTCTGAGTGATATGTTGGTTTTGGGTTTCTAAAACCTTCTGAGATATTATTGTCTCTTTGTCTTAATTAGTTTAAGCTGTCAACATGATGTGATCTAGAGTCTTCTGAGGGAAAATCAGTTGAGGGTGTGCCTGGATCAGAATTGCTAGTTACTATGTCTGTGAGAGATTGTGTTGATTGATGATTAATGTAGGAAGGCTCTTCCACTGGGCATGGCAATACCCCTAAGCAAGTGGGCCTGGGTAGGATAGGCGAGCTAGCTGAGTGTGGGCCCTGGCCCCCCACTGTGAGTGGCAGCTGCCTTGCTTGCCGACCTTGACCAGATGTCCTCCCTATTCAGATTCCCTGCCGGTATCCACCCTCCTGAATGCTTTAGGGAAGTTCCTTGTTTGTGCATCCTGCATATTGGGCATTAACAGCTTAGATGCAAGAATGTAGAACATTCAGTAGCAAACTTCTGCCCTCCGGGGATCCGCCATTGTGCTGTAAGCCTGTATTTAAGGTTTCCTCCCTCTTTCAATAAACGGCATTCGGCCGGCACTCGGCATTCAGCTGTGGCTAATGACTCGCTGTCTCTTGTCTCTATTTTTTTTAATCCACAGCCCCTCGCTCTGACATGGTGAACGGGTGGTGGTAGCGCGGGTGTTATCCCTACAAATGGAGGTTCCTACCGAGATCCGAGAAAGAAGGGACAAGCTGATGGACACCCAAAAGGTAAGGCTGGCCAGCAATTTAAAGAAAAAAAGAAAAGATAAGGGTGAATTGAAATGGGTGCAGCTAGCTCACAGTCAGTTGATTGGACTGTTGAAGCAGGAAGGCACTGAAGTTAAGAAAGGGCAAGACAGCTAAAGATTTTAAATAAAGAAGGAAATCTTCCCAAAAGAGAAGAGGGAAGGAAAGGAAAGGAAATTTCCCGTTAGAAAAGGGAGAAAAAATTTTAATCAAGAAAAAAGGATTTTCCCGGTAAAAAGGGGAAAAATTTTTGAAACTGGGCCTAAAGATTGGGGCTCTGTAGAGGAAGGATGAACAAAAGAGAGAAGCCTCTTCCCAGTGTTAATGGAGGAAGAGAAGACTCTTTCCAATTGTAGAGTTTTCAGGATAGCTGAAACTCTGAGCTCTTTCTGCAGTGCAGCATCTGAATTACAAAGAATCGGCAGGTAGGCCTCATTGCTGCTGGCTGAACAGCAAGCGAGCCCAGAGGTTAGAAGTTTTGCTGTCTGTTTGCTTATTTTGGTTCAAATGTTTTTTATTTTTCCCTCGGAGTGGGAATAATTCAATATTTAGGATCCCTTCGTGGGAAATGTTTTTCTGTTTTTCCCGTTTTGGCGGGAATAACTCATTAGGTAGTCCCTTCATGGGAGTAGGAAGTTTAAACATGAGTTTGTATGTGCGGGGAGTGCGCCCAGCGGCAGCAGCGGCAGACAAAGGCGTGCAGGAGATAGCCCGCAGCGGAGCAGAGGGCGGACAGGTACGTGCCGATGGGAGGCAGAGCTGCGATGGAGCACAGCCCGGGCGGGCACCAGCATTAGAGCCCAGGCACGGGCACTAGAGCCTGAGCACTGGGCGGAGCCAAAGCTAAGCCGCAGCTTCAGCTCCAGCCAAGTGAGCAGAGGCCCCGGAAGGGACTAGCACCTAAAAGTTTAAATGGGCCTAACTTCTGATGAAAAATGGTTTCAGTCAAGACATACAATGCTAAGTCAATGCTGTGTGAATAAAAGATGTTTTGTTCTTTTGATTGTCTTAATAAATGTTTGGATGAATGTTTGATTCTCATGGTAGATAAACTAAAGGAACAAGATTCATAATTTTGAACTATATATTAGGTGTGCCCTTGTCTGTTGATCATTACTGAAAATTTGGTTCTGCAATTTAAATTGCTTTCTAGAAATTCTTGGTTTAATTCTATAGAAATATAACACCTGAAATGGATTGGGTTGTTAGCTTATTAAATAATGTTGCTAAGATAAACCCATAAATAATAATATCTTACTGATAAAGAGGTTACAAAGTTATTTTTCCAGTAAATAAAATACAGGTAAATTGTTCCACATTGTTAATAATTGGCTATTTGTGCTAATGTGTTACTTGAAATTTATAAAAAAGGATCCTCTTTTTAAGATTTTATAAAAATACTCCAGAGTATTGCCTAAAGTTACCTTTTCAAATCCTATAGAGATTGTATTTAATGCTTTTATAATTGAAAGTTACCTTTTCAAATCCTATAGAGATTGTATTTAATGCTTTTATAATTGGCATATGTAAAAAGGACCATAGAAATAGAAGCTGGTGATAGAATTGCTCAATTATTATTGCTTTCATATTTTAAAGGCAAAATGGCGCCTATATGTAGAACTGGAGGTTTTGAAAGTACAGGAAAAAAGGTGTTTTGACAAACAGTTATCAATGATAAACAGCCTAAATTAAAAACAAAATTATATGGGATTGAGATTGAAAGATAATTGGATTCTGGTGCTGGATTTATCTATAATTTCACAAGAATCCTGAGATCCCAATTGGCCCCTTAAGAATTTCATCTCTAACCTACAAGGTATCAGCACAGCTCAGACGCCATTGCAGAGCAGGCTACTCTTAAATTGGAAGGATGAGTAAGGTCATGCAGGAACTTTTCAACCCTTTGTGCTACCTGACATTCCAGTGAACTTGTGGGGACGAGATGTGTTAGACGGTATGGGAGCAGTGCTTACTACACAGCCTGTACAACAGATACTAAAAAGTCAGGGTTACTGCCCAGGCAGAGGCTTAGGAAAAATGTTGCAAGGAGACCCACTCCCTGTGGCAGACAAAAGCTGTGTCACTAGAGGTCCTGGGGATACAAGAGGATTAGGGTCTTTTCCATAGGGGTCACTGCACAGCAGCCTTCAATTATACAACTGATAAAAATCACTTGGAAAAGTGATGACCCTGTATGGGTGGAGCAGTGGCCCCTTACTAAAGAAAAATTGGAGGCTGCGAACACATTAGTTTAGGAACAGTTAGATGCTGGTCATATCATTCCTTCCACTTCACCTTAGCACTCACCTATATTTGTTATTAAAAAGAAGTTAGGAAAATGGAGGCTATTACAGGATCTTAGAGCTGTAAATAAAACCATGCTTCTCATGGGAGCAACACAGCCTGGTTTGCCTGCCCCTGTGGCAATTCCTAAACATTGGCATTTAATTGTGGTTGACTTGAGGGATTGTTTCTTCACCATTCCTTTGCATTCCGAGGACAGTCCTCACTTTGCTTTTAGTGTTCCTTCAGAAAATCTTAGAGAACCTTATCAGAGATATCAGTGGGTGGTATTGCCTCAAGGAATGGCCAATAGCCCTACAGCTGAGCAGAAGACAGTGACCAAACATGAAAGAAAGCCAGTAAAAAAGTTTCCCCATGGATTTTGCCTTCAGTTGCTAGCTTGAGTTTCTACCTTAAGCTCCCACAATGGTGGGTTGTAATCTGGCAATTTCAGCCAAATAAATGTGTTCATTACCTAAGATGCTTGGTTAGAAATTTAATCACAGCAAGAAGCAAGCAAGTTAGAACAAAACATGGGACACAGAAAGTGATTTTATTGCTGCATAGAACCTAGGATTGATGACTTTTGGAGGAATGTTGAAGATATTAGGACTTTAGAATGCAAAAGCCATAGAGAGCTGTACACAGAGCTTAATCAGCTGTTCTTACAGGACTGAGAAGATGGGAGTATTGAGAGCAATGCAGACAGTGGATATTGAGGTCATAGGATTTCAGTGAAAAACAGACACCATGTTAAATTTAGCCAGAAGTCATTTCTATAACATTTTGGCTCCTAATCATACTTTCTCCATTCCCTGAGAAATTGAGTAAGGCAGAATTAAAAATTAATGGGCTGATTTCTTTGATAAAATACTGATTTTGTTGGATGGTTATTACTGGTGACTCATTTAGGTCTCCAGTGAAAAAGAAACAAAGAAAGAAATGAAACATTTGTATTTTTTAGAGAAAAGTTTTAGGTAGTTTCAGGTAACATTGCAGTGGTGAAACAGGCAGGAACTTTTCAGGAGAGTGTCACTGTTAAACTGAAGGCACCTGCTCTACAGCAGAAGCCTATAAAGATGCCCCAAGGATAAAACTCTATCCAGCTGAACTTTCAATTTATGGAAGGAGTAAGCAAAACGATTTCTGATTCTAGGAATGAACTTCATGAAGAACCTGCTGCAACTGTGGTCCAAGTATAATAAGGTCCATCACAACTTAGAACATAGTAGCCAAATTTGGGGAGTTTGGGGGCAGTCACTCATGTTGTATTGGTTCTTGAAACAAGAAAGATGCAAAATGTAAAAGCCGTGGATTCTTCCTCTGTGGTTTCAGTTCAGCACTGTTGTTTGTCATGGGTCAGAAACCCAATGTGGAGACTCTAAGAATCCATTGCATGAAGCTATGAAGATGAAGCCTGTATTGAGACCATTTGATATTGAGTTATGCAAGCTATGAGATATCTGCCATGGAGAACTGGATACAGGGAGTGGAAGTAGCAGAGGAGAGACATGGATGAACATTTGCAGGCATATTGCTATCTAAGCTCTCTGAGAATGAAACCTCATGTGTCTGAGTCAGAGCTACAGGACTTGATGTTTGCCCTGCTGAGTTTCTTCTTGTCTTGGTCCAATCTTCCCTCCTTGCATCCACAGTCCTCTCTTTTCCTTTTTTTTTTAACATTTATTATTCTTTCATGCCCCGCCTGCAGGGCTTCACCGGGTTCGACCACCCTAAGGACGGAATGATAGGGACAGGAGATACAAGGAAACACAACAAGTCTAGATTCTGATCAAGGTGCAACTTTATTTTTCTCCAAGAGGGTTTATATAGTTTCTGCAGGGTGGGGGGAGCAAGAAGCTGTCATCTGCATAAGGTGGGGCAAGCTATCAGGATGTTTGTATAGGATGTTTACAGGGTGAAAGGGTCAAGGGCTCTGCCTCAATGTCCTGTTGCTAGGCAACCTGACTGTAAGATGATCTAGTTCCCTGTCTTATGGGGGTCTGTACTTTTCCACTAACTAGAGATTCTATCCTTGTCCCTGACACTTTCACACAATATATCCCCTCATGCAGTAAATTTTCCTCTCCCTCTACTCCCTGATATCCCTTGAACTGCTCCCCTGTGGTGATATATTGTTTAACCTAATAAACTTATCTGGGCATGAGAGGACAGAGCCAGCCACCAAATTAAACATAGAGGTCAGGCAGTAGTGCACACATCCTTAATCCTATCACTCGGGAGGTAGAGATCCATTTGGATCTCTGTGAGTTCACGGCCACACTGGGAACAGAGCCAGACATGATGACATACCTTTAATTCCAGGAAGTAACATGGCAGGACATAGAAAGATATAGAAGGCATGAGTAAACAGGAAGTCTCTCTGTTGAGGCTGAGGATTTCGTAGAGGTAAGAACATGGCTGGCTTGTTCTGTTTCTCTGATCTTTCAGCATTGACCCTAATATTTGGCTCTGAGTTTTTCATTATAAGACTTTTTAAGATTCGTATTACGCTCCCCTCTTCACCAGATCCACTATTCTTCCATTTCCCTTCAGAAAAGAGCAGATCTTCCAGGGATATGAAGCAAATGTGACATAACAACTTACAATAAGACTAGGCAGAGACCCTCATAATCAAGGCGGCATGAGGCAACCCAGTAGGAGGAAAAGGGTGCCAAGATCATACAAAAGAATCAGAGACACCCCTGCCCCCATACACACTGTTAGGAGTCCTATAAAAACATCAAAGCTACATAACCGTAACACATATGCAGAGGACCTGGCACAGACCCATGGAGGCTCCGTGATTGCTGCTTCAGGCTCTGAGAACCCCTATGATGTCTGCTTAGTTGATTCCTTGGTCTGTGTTTTCCTGGTGTCCTTTTTAGTCAGAAAAAATTTTGACTATGATTGTTTTGCAAATATTTTCTGGGCCAAAGGGCTAGGAGTCCTTTTCCTTCTAGTCATTATTCCTAGGTTTGGTCTTTTCATATTGTTCCAGATTTTCTGGATTTTATGTTTTAGGAACTTTTTAGATTTAACATTTTCTTTGACTAATACATTCATTTCTTCTAACATATATTCAATGCCTGAGAGTCTTTCTTGCATCTCTTCTATTCTTTTGGTGAAGCTTGCTTCTGTAGTTCTTGTTGACTTACCTGATTTTTATTTCCAGAATTCTTTCAGCTTGTGCTTTTTTATTGCTTCCATTTCCATTTTCAGATCTTGAACAGTTTTCTTCATGTCCTGCAACTGTTTGGTTTTTCTAAACTTTCTTTAAGGGATTTGTTTGCTTCCTCTTTAAGGACCTCTATTATTTTCATAAAGATGGTCTTTAGGTCTTTTGCTTGACCTTCAGCTGTGTTGGAATATTCAGGGCTTGCTGTAGTAGGATATCTGGGCTCTGGTGGTGACATGTTGCCTTGGCTGTTGTTATGTTCTGAAGCTGATGTCTAGGTATCAATCTGGGTTTGGGTTGATTATGGGTATAGGTCAAGCAAGAGAATGAGGGTGGGGCATATGCAGCTCAAAGACACAGCCCAAGGATGGGGTCCAACAGTGAGAATGACATGTCAGACCACAGTTGTGGGAAATGGCTAGGGATCAGAAAGGGACAACTCACCAACGGAAGCAGCCAGTGTTGTGCAAAGCTGTCCAGCAGCTGGAGAAATGGAAAAGTGGGCAGTCGTAGATAGAGTAAACCTTGGTACAGAGTCCCGGGTGCAGAGTGCTGGGAGGGCCTGCTTTGTCTCAGCATCAATATTATTTATTAAGTGGCACAATGTTATTCATTAAGCAGTGCTGTTTACCATGTGAGAAAAGCCATGAGGTACAACAAAACCCACTATGAGAATTTATTAAGGAAAGGGAAAAGAAGGGATGTGCTAAGGCCTATGGAAATGATTATGTAGGAAGAGAGAGGAGTTATAGGTGGAACCCGCTTTTTATAGACTCCCCCCCGGCACATGCACATATGAGCTTACATAGCTATACCACACATGCACATAGATTGTGTGATCATGCTGCATGCAAATTATGTGGTCACACAGTGCATGGATTACATTGGACGTAAGGCCCTGGGATGGCTAAGCATCTTGCCTGGCTACTGGACGGTGCATGTGCGGTCATGTAGCCGGAGGAGTGAGTAGAAATTCTAACAGTATGGGGAACAATTCTCCATTGTTTGTGAGAGTGCAAACTTGTACAACTTTGAAATCAATTTGTTAGTTCCTCAGATAATTGAGAATTTATCTGTCTCAAGACACAACTATACCACTCTTGGGCATATACCCAAAAGATGCTCCTCCATCCTACCACAAGAACACTTGCTCATCTATGTTCATAGCAGCTTTATTCATAATAGCCAAAAAACTGCTATGTCTTTGAGAGATTGTTCCTGGTTTTGGTTTTCATAATTTTACAAATTCCATTGAGATGTTTGCTATTCGGCCTGGCTTGGATATCTGTATTTAGTCAGGGATACATTTGAACTCATGATCCTTATGTGTCAGCCTCCTGAATACAAGTCCAAGGGTAGATGATGTACCCCCAATTTGTGCTGTTTTGTCAACATGTTTCAACAATGTTAGTGTTAAAATACTTAATAGAAGAAAATATAAGAAACATTAAATACCCCATGTGTGTATTCAAAGCATCATTTTCATCTGTCTGGTAGACATGTAATAATGTAGGATAACCAGCAATGAATTATATATTTTGTTGGATACCTGCTTGGGGGAGGGGGTTCAGGTCCCAAAGACAATGTGTGGAGTCACCAGGGATGAGAGAGGAGTAGATTGACATGATGTGAAGGTAAACTGAATGGCTGCCAGCAGCATTTAATTGGAAAAAGTTACCTTTTATATGCTATAGTTTCATGTAGGATTAAACAGGAGAAAAGAGGGCTTGTGAGCTTGTGTATGGCTTGAAATCATGGATTAAGGAAACTAGCTTTGGCCTTGACAATAGGCATCAGCCATATCTTTTTTTTTTTTTAAAGATTTATTTATTTATTATGTATACAGCATGTATGACCGCAGGTCAGAAGAGGGCGCCAGATCTCATTATAGATGGTTGTGAGCCACCATGTGGTTGCTGGGAATTGAACTCAGGACCTCTGGAAGAGCAGTCAGTGCTCTTAACCTCTAAGCCATCTCTCCAGCCCAGCCATATCTTAATGAAAGGACCACAAGTTCCTCCAGCAAAAGAAGAGGAGAATGACTGTTTTAGCAACTGAGAACTTTCCTTAAGCCCCTGAGGGAATGGAGACCCTTATCCAAATGCCTGACCTTGTGAAAGGACTTTTTATGGGGAGCAGACACTATACTACAATTTCTTAGTCTTACTATATGGGCCTCATAACGCTTACTATATTCCCTTTATAATGCTCCCTAAAGGGAAGGTTCTGGTGTCTTCCATTATATCATACCATTCTAATTTCTCTATATTTATTAACTGAACTCTTGCCCTTAATTGCCTTAGGCTCTAGATCTGAAAAATAGGCATTTTATCCATGGGATCAGGTGTGTCTAGTAAATCTCTAACTTTCCTGTTCTTGGTGTAATTAGGAGGGCACAATGGAATTACTGGTTCCATGGTACAGGGATTTTTTTTCTCCAAAGAATTATTTTGTTTAGAGAGTCTACCATTGTACACATTTTTATCCTTTACCAAAACCTGCACAAAATTTCCCAAAGGGAAAGACATTAATAGTGAGAATCATTAAAATGTACTGGAAAAGTGTGATTTGTCTGTAATATCAAAATGCTGGAAATTTGTCAAGCAGCAATAATTACCATGTCATCTACACCAATACTTCACAACATAGCTTAACATGCTATGGGTATGTATATATTATTTAAAGTTACATGCTTCTTCATGTCTGCATTAATATCTGATTAGAAATGTCATCTTGAAGTACTGCCTTTCAGGGGATTGTCCAGAAATGCAGATAATGTAATGGCAATGAGATTTATTAAAATCAAAACAAAACAGACAAAACACATTTCTGTTATGTATGTGTGTAATGTGATTATAGGTTTTTAGGCCATGACAGATATGTGGAAACTGGAAGACAACTTTGTGGGGTCTACTTTTGCCCCTCTTCATATGGTGATCAATGTCAGGTTCCAGTCTTGCACAGACTGTCTCAGTGGTCTTCAAATAAAATTAGTTAAAATATTACATCAGTGAAATATTGTCTTCTTTTTAGATTGTAAACATTATCATCTAATGATAGAGGAAGACAGGACAATTTGAATAATAGATCCTATTTGCAAATTGAAATGATATACTGCTATCTCTTTAGTTTTTTTGTTTGTTTGTTTGTTTTTTTTTGGTTTTTCGAGACAGGGTTTCTCTGTGTAGCTTTGCGTCTTTCCTGGAACTCACTTGGTAGTCCAGGCTGGCCTCGAACTCAGAGATCTGCCAGCCTCTGCCTCCCGAGTGCTGGGATTAAAGGTGTGCACCACCACCGCCTGGTTTTAGGTTTTTTTTTTTTTTTACCTTTTCTTTGGATTGTTAATTTATTCCAAGGATTAAACTTTTGTTCCTGACACTTTCTCAGAACCACAATCTAATGCCATAGAATTGTTTCAATGGGTTAAGTTGGTTGCTGCTAAGCCTATTGACCTGAGTTCAATCTCTGCAACACTCAAATTACTTCTACAAATTTTTCACTTATTTCTACACTCAGGCTGTGGCATATGCACACTCACTCTCACACTGACACATACATAAATAATTTTTAAACCCAAATAAGTGTCACTGAGGTCACTTGAAGCCAGATGACTCCCTTG